AATAAATTTGGCGGGTTTCGGGCTTGCCACCCAACACTGCTTTTAGGGTTTTGTAAGGCGGTTAGGGCTCTAAGATTGGGGCTGAGGGTTGAGGCGGGTTGAGTTTTTGCGTTCAGGTTCGGGTTTTAAGGCTTCGTTTTAGACGTTTAAGTTCCTGGGCTTAGGCGCTCTACGCTTTAGGGCCGAAACCTGAAATCGTTTACGGTTGGCGCTTAGGGCCTCAAAGCTTTTAGGTTTCTCTTTCCAAGGAGGGGTCTCTGGTGGAAGAGGCCAGCGCCTTTAAAACATGGTTTCCGGCAGGTCCGTGGCCTGCTGTGTAGGGGTTTTAGCGTTTAGGTTTAGGGTTTAAGGTTTAGCCTAGGGTTTAGGGTTTAGGGGTTTAGGGTTTAGGGATGCCTTTAATCACGAGGGGTTTTACTAATCAAGAGTTGACATTGGGCCCTGAATCCTGGACTCGAGACTCTTGGACCCTTCAGTCTGAAGATTCGAGGACCTGGACAGCTACTGTGGGGGATCCGGCAAGGTTTCTAGGGTTTAGGGTTTTGGGTTTAGGGAAACACGAGTTTGAAACGGCTCCTATTTTGGCTTCTTGTTGTAACCCTAAGGGTCCAAGTACTTGATAACCATATACTCTCCCACATGGAAGCCTACACAAGTATTATTAAACCGAAGTACCTAATTATTGGACTTATTGGACCCTTAGTGTAATTGTACAGCATTATGACCCAATGCCCTTCTCTAGTTAATGATTAATGCCCCTACATTTGGACTACTATACAGTGTACTGCGAGTGTATGGTCTCCTACGTTCTAAGATTTAGTTCAGGTAAACCCTAAACCCTAGACCCTCAACCCTAAATCTGAGTGTAGTAAAACCCTGCTATTCGGGCACTTCGACCCCAGGGGGCTTGTTTGGCTTTCTTGTGAGGCTCCTGTAACGGCTTTTTTAGACTTTACCGCTCTGGGGGTTACTTTAAGGTTTAGGGTTCATGGTTTAAGGTTCCATCAAGTGGACCCCCAAAGGGAGCTTTGGATTCGGTCTGATGGTAATATAGGGGCTTAAATCATAACCTATACTCTTTTTGGGGGGTTCCTCTTTTGTATGTATAGTAGAATGGGCCCCAAAACCTTATTCTAATCATGAAGGCCCCTCTGTTAGGCAGGCTTTTCGATCCTTAGCATCGCTCATGGTCTGCCCCTAAGTGACGTCTATCCTCCTATGAGGAGCCCTTGGGGGTGCTATAAGGGTGCGAAAATAGGGTTTTGGGGTTTAGGGTTTAGGGTTCCTTTCAGGGTACGACAAGGGTGATATATTGGGGTTCCTGTAAGGGTACGACAAGGAAACTATAGCTATGGACATGGAGTTCCCTAAAGTGTTACAGTGTTGCTGGAAAGGAATCCTTTTCTACATTCTTCATGTTCTGAAAGACCTTTACAAGAACTCGTATTCTCAACCAATAGAAACTTCCTGGGTCCCCTTACCGGAATCCCCTTCGGTCCCAGGAGCAGAAGATCAACCAGACGGCGGAAGCCATGTACGACTTCTTCATCTCGCGGGTGCGAACGAACCTGCACATCGCTTTTTGGCTGGGATTTCAGGGGGGGTGAAGGGTTTAGGGGTTAGGGGTTTGGGGTTTAGGATTTAGGGTTTAGGGTTTAGGATTTTAGGATTTTAGGGTTATTTAGGGTTATTTAGGGTTGGGGTTGAGGGATTTACGAGCTGGAGTTAGGGGATATCCTTCCACTGTTGTTCAGGCGGCAGGGCTTCAGGGTTTTCGGGCCAAGTTTACAGCTTACACTTCAGGCAACTTAAGCCTCAAGAGCCTAAGCCCTAAAATATAAACCCTATACCCTAAGTTATAAACCCTACACCCTAAGTTATAAACCCTAAACCCTAAACCTCCTTCAGAAAAGCTCTTACGTTCAACCTGTCAAGACGGTGAAGAACCCCAACCCGGAGAACTTCCGACCCGATCTCCCAAAAAAGAGCCGCTTAAGCCCTATAAACCTGTAGCTCCAACCCAAATAGGCCGAACCCTAAACCATAATATAGGTGCCTTGATAATTTACCTGTACTATTTTTGGGGTGCCCTTTTTTATTTATAGTATCATGGGCCCCAAAGCCCTGTTCTCATTCTTAAGGCCCCTACATTACATCCTGTACATATCTCAAGCCCGACTACCCCAAACCCTAAACCCTAAGCCCCCCGAAGCCCAGGTGTTCTGCATGTCCTACATCGGCAGCAACTTCCGCGACTACTGCCGCAACCCGTCCTGTCTGACTGAGCCCTCGACAGACGTAAGCTTAATGATCCTTGAAAGTCTAGGTTCCCCCGTAGTACCCTTTTGCCCTTTTTCTTTTTGGGCTCCCTTATTGAAGCCAAACAGTAGGAAAAGGGGGTACCCTTATTACTACGGGGCTGCTGGGGAACCTAGAAGTACCCAGAGACTCCAATAGCCCTTAATTAAGGAATATACCTTAAATCTTATTAGGGCTTCTATTATAATTTAAGGTATATTCCTTAATTAAGAGGTTTTGGAGTCTCTGGGTACGGAGCCTGCTGCACATTGGGGGCCGGAAGTTTAGTACGAGCTGAACAGGGGCCCCCCTAAACCCTAAACCCTAAACCCTAATCCCTAATCCCTAAACCTTAACAGGGGGATCCTGGTTTAAGGCATGTTGGAACCTCTGGGAACCCTGCTCCGGATCCCGAACACTACAGCCCGACTTAGCATCCAACCCTAAACCCTAAACCCTAAACGGTTTAGGGTTTAGGGTTTAGGGTTTAGGGTTTAGGCTAAGCCCTGAACTCTAAACCCAAGCCCCAAAAATCATGTTCGCCCGACACGCGAAAAAAAAGCAGCGGCTTCGGTGCGACCCCGAGGCCTTCACTTCGCTTTGCTACCGGACCGAAAGCTTATACGATATAAATCTTGGAGTTGAGGTTTTAGGGTTCAGGGTTGAGGATTTTAGGGTTTAGGGTTTAGGGTTCAGGGTTGTTGATGATATATATCCTGCATTATTACCACAAACGGGAATGTACCATGATTCCTTTAGTTTTTGGTCCTTAAGCTAATGCAGGGCTTTTATCATCAACTGTAGCCAAGGAACCTGATTAAGAAGCCCTTGGACTAATTACTAGGGTTCTTGATCTGAGTCCTAGTGTTTTGGGATTGCATGGCCAGGGTTTCTTAATCAGGTTCCCTAAACCCTAAACCCTAAACCCTAAACCCTAAACCCTAAACCGTGGCAAACCCCTGCGTGAAACTCTGAACCTGAAAGACAAGTTCTAAGCCTAAACCCTAAATTCTAAACCCTTACCCTAAGGGTCCAAAGGACCTAATAATCTGGTACTTTAGTTGCGGATAGTAGCTATCTAGATTAATATTTGGGAGAGTATATGATTATTAGGTACTTGGACCCTTAGGGTTATAGAAAAGCCTGACGAAGGCTAAGACTCCCAACCTTGAACCCTCGACACCCGTAAAGGAACCCTTAAAGGACCCTAAACCCTTAAAGCAAGCCCTTGAAGGAAACCTATAGGGTTGTATCATTGCGTCCATTTAAGGGGGTATCATAGGTTTCTATAATCGGGTGCCCTTAAAGGAACCCTTGAAGGACTGTAAGCCCTTGAAGAAGCCCATGAAACCGGATGCTTTTTGGGCTTCCAAGGAATGTACCCGTCGCTTGTCAGCTGCACCACGGCTATTTGGCTCCTCCCTTGGCCTGCGGAGGCTCTCACGCGGAGCTTGCTGGCTTCAGAGGGTTTAGGGTTTAGGGTTTAGGGGTTTAGGGTTTAGGGTTTAGGGCACCCTAAACCATTCCTAAACCCCACATAGCCTACCTGTTTAAGGACGTATGTAAAAAAAAATCATCATCAGGAGCCCTAAAAAGGTCGGCTCTTTAGGGTCCACGTAAACCCTCAATGCGTTCCCTAATTAGCCTCAACCCCTTATACACCCCCTACCCCATAGGCCCCATCGTAGTTCTTTTTTTGGGGTTCATATATAGAATCCTAAGAACCCTATAGGGTAATCCCAAAAAGGAACTACTATGGGGCCTATGGGCAGACCCAGAGCTGAGGGCTGCAGGGTTCAATTCAGTATTCCCGTGGAGTCCTTAGACTAAAGCAATCGTGCAATACCAAGATTACATAACAACTAGAACAACAAAAGTAATACACGAAATTGTAGTATACCTTCTGAACCCTCATAAAATCAGTGAGGCCATTAACAGTATCTATATCGGTATGTACATGTATGTGCATATATATACATATATATATATATGCACATAAGAGAGCTTCAGTCCTGTAGGCTGTTTAGTTTCAGTTTGCGGTTGAGGCCCAGTAGCAGTACGACTACGCCGACCACGACGACAAATATGCAACGTCATGATAGATTGAAGTAAGCCCGAAACACTCTCCCAAGTTATAACTAACGAAATCTTAAGAGGTTACACCCACACTCAATTCTGGCTTTGTTAGGATTTCTGTCCTTTGTTTGTCAAGCAAGCTCCCGCACCCTCAAACCCAAACCGGTTGACCAGCCATGCAGAAGACTACTGTAGGGGCCTAAATAAATGCCAATACTATTCTGGGGGCTCCATGTGATTATTACAGTATAATGGGCCCCAAAACACTATTCTAATTAATAAGGCCCCTTTACTATGCATGCAAACCAACAATAGATCGCAATTCGAAAGCCTGCAAACACCCCTTTAAAACCTCCACACAGAATGTAGCAGCCTTTATCTTTGCCCTGTGATACTCCAAATAGCCCAAATTTTGGAATTATCTGTGTACTTGACACACCAAACTACTTATCATACACATGGAGTCTTATGGACAAGCAAAACCCGTTCAACATCCCAGTGAAGTTTTGAAACCTAAGAATGGTATCGACTTGGGGCCTTTTGGCGTTTTCGGGGAAGACCTCGAACCCCAAACCCAAAACCCCTAAACCCTAATCCCTAACTCCCAAACCCTAAACCCTGGACCTAGCCCCTAACTTCCAAACCCTAAACCCTAAACCCTAATCCCTAACTCTCAAACCCTAAACCCTACACCCTAAACCCTAAACCCCTAACTCCCAAACCCTAAACCCCTAAACCCTAACCCCCAAACCTTAAACCCTAAACCCTAAGACCGACAGGCACTGACAGAGGTGGCCCTGAAGTTCCTCACGGAAGGCGGGGGCCCGGTAGGGCTTCGGGCCATAGTTAGGGAAAGGATGGGCTAAGCGTTTGGGATTAATAGAAATTGTGAAGGGTTTTGGGTTTAGGGGTTCGGGTTTAGGGTTTGGGGTTTAGTGTTTTTGGGGGGTTTGGGTTAGGGGTTTGGGTTTAGGGTTTAGTTTCTAAGGTAGTTTAAGGGTTTAGGGTTGTAGAGTTTCAGTTTTGGATTTGAGGGTTTAAGGTATTAGAGGTTCAGTCTTTGTGTGGATTTTGGGTGTTTCTATTTCCTGGCGTTCCGGGTCTCTGGATATTGAGGGTTGCGTTTGTACTGTACGATTGTGTTTTTGTTTCAGTTTTGGTGAGGGCGATGGGTTTTCCCAGATTTGAATTTGGGGGTTTAGGATCTTGAAGCTTAGGGTCATAGGAGGTTCGGGTTCGGTGCTGAGGCGTTTTAACTATGGTTAGCTTGGCCTACTCCTTAGACCATAATATGAAGGCCCCGCTAATGCAACCTATATTCCTTAATTAAGGGGTACTGGGCTCTCTTGGGTATGGATGCACCGGCGCATCATGCCAATACATGGGACAAGCCGAGCCCTGCAGTCTGCCCTGCCAGCAATGCTCAGCCAATCGCGGCCGCCTGTGCAGGTCTTTGCGGCCGTTCCGAAAACTGGTGGACAGGAGGCGGGTGGACAGGAGCCGGCCCTTCCTACTGGTGGACCGGAGACCTTTGCAGGTCGGATGCTGCATGAGGTCAACAAGAAGGAGGTAGGGGGCGATCCCCCGGCTGTCAGGCAGCCTGGGGGAAGAGGAGCGAGAAATGATCGCCCCTCGCAAAGCGTCGCGAAACGGGACGTGCTTTTGAGCGGATGTCAGACAGGCTGCTGCAGGCGCAAGAGGATCTGACCACAACCCGCTTCGAGCTCGCGGCGACTCAGAGCAGCCTGGACTCGGCTCTGCAGGAGACCAAGAGGCTGGGGACGAGGATCGAGGAGCTCCAGATGCAGAACGGGGACCTCAATTGAGCATGTCTCCTTGCCTTGCGAGGTGAAGCCTCGGAAGTGGTTTTCTTGGCTCGTGAGAGTTCGCGAACTTACCGCGAAGTACAAAGAGGAGGAAATGGACGACATCGAAATTGAGACTCTCAACGGCCCATCCAGAAAATCCTGCTACACCAGTTTCGTATCTTCCTGGACAGAGCTGAAACTGAACCAGCTCGCGTGCCAGCTGAAAGGACAGCAGCGTTTTAGCATCGACGAGCTCGCCCAGAATTGCAGATTCTCCCTGCGCTGGGTATCCCTTCGAAAATGCCTGCTAGTTCTAGCTGGTGTAGCTGTACACTACTGAGGGTGACAGTAGTCATACTTGATGAAGCAATCTT